TATGTGTAATAAGCATATTAATATCTATTAATATATTTATTATATTTATTAGAGAAGTGAGATTTACAATATGTGCGCTTTCTTATTATAAAAATTTCATTTTCTATTACATATAATTTTATATATTTTATAGAAGGCATATTTTCTATCACATATAATTTTATATATTTATAAAGTTTATCTATGAATAATTTGAAAGATGAAATCACTTAATATTAAGTTTTTAAAATTAGAATATTTTGTATAAATAATATTTATATTTATTAAATACTTTTGATTCGTACTCTCTATATGTATTCTCAAAAGATATTTCTTGGATTGTGAGAAGGATGTAAGAAAACATTTTTCAGCCACTTTAAAACACTTTAGTAGTTGGTACTTAATTAGTTGGTTATTTGTTGTAGAAAAGTAATTAGCTGAAGAAAAACTTCTCAGTCTTTTATTTCTCCATCTGAAACTTAACGAACAATCAAAAAATTTTAATACGCAATTATTATTATTATTATTTCACCTTTTCACTGTGTCAAAAAAAATGAAAAAAATAGTGACGATATTTTTTGTTAAATAGTCATAGAAAGAACTAGAGAAGAAGAGATTATAAAAATGTTGAAAGATATGTAATTGATCCCATATAAATATCTTCTATATATAATTATAATTTAAATAATAAAAATCAACTCTTGAAAATGGATCTGTAATACATATATGTCGTGAAAAGAATAAATACATCTTATTATGATGCCTAAGAGAATGTATTACAAATTACATAAATTGGACCAAAAATGTCAATGAATATGTATTTATATAGATTATACGTATTAAAATATGTTTTTTTAATTTTTCGCGCATTATTTTATAACAATAGAGTCTTTCATCAATATCGATTTCTCTTTACCAGAAATAGGAAGGTTAGTTATTGTAATCTTTCTTCAAAATTGTTTATTTTTATGACTAACTTCAATAAAACTGTATTTTATTACATTTAAAATTAATTGAAAACAAAATGTATTTATGTTTTGTCTTCATGAAATTTACTTTATAAAATAGCGTAATATGTATATCTTTTTCACAATTAATAGTTCAAAAATGATTGATACATCTTGATATTGTTAGAAGGAACATTGATTTTAAATCAATTGTTAAAGAGTCGATTGTTAAAAAATAATGTGCAAGAAAGATATTCAGTACATCACAATGTATATGAATTTGCCTCTTAGCTTGTTAAATGTAATAAGCGATGAAAATATACAAAAAAAATAATACAAAAAGAAATTTTAATTAAAACAGAGGACAAGATATTACTAAACTACATTGATATTTATTTGAATTATCAATAGAAGACGACGTACATATACGATTTTCGATGCTATATAAAAAATCAACAAATTAACCTCAGAGAGATTATAAAAACCTGTGGTGAGCTGGAAAGAAAGAAAACTGTTTATATTGTAGCTTTTTTAAAAATATTAAACCAAGCGCAAAGAATCTATACCTGAAAATTTCTTTCTCGATAATACATAAGATTAAAAAATATTTCAATTCCATCATTACTTACAGGGAATTTTATAAATACATTTTTTAATTTATATGGTAAATATTTAATATCGTCTTTCACATAAATGCAATCTAATTTTATTATATATTTTCTATTCTTTTATAAGTGAAATATTATTCACATGTCAGTTCAAAGACTCTTATACATTTACATCAATTAATCTTATTATATTATATTAACAATAAAGTTAAATAAATCTTAATAAAACAATAAATATAGATTGATTGTGAATTTTCAATTATCTGTGAAGAGACAATACGTTAATCATTACATATAAAAAAGACAAGATAGAAATATTAATTTAATTAATTAAATATATATCTCCGTTTTTTTTCTATCACCCAAATGCGTAAGGAAAATATGTTAAGGAGATATAAAAAAATAATAAAATATCTTAAATTCACAAATTATCTCTGAAAGAATTATATTATTTTATATTATATATTTTTATTCCAACCAATTTTCACAATTTCAAATAAAAAATGAAAGTATCTACTTAGACAAATATGTCTTACAGAATAAATTAAATTCACGAATATATTAAACATAACTATAACTGGAAATAACTCATTTATTCTATTATACTATTCTCTACTGATTAACGTTACCTATTGACATCTCACATGATTTCTTCTTCGACTTCTTGTTTCAACCGAACTGACGATCTAAAGATAATTCGAAAACAGCAGAACACATAAATTAACAGACCAAAATGATTATACATAAACGATAAAAATACATTTTATGAATTTTTCAAAAACCGTATCGCACTGCGATATTTCGGATATTTCACTAAATAATTGTCGAACACCGAAAAGAACAGATTTATAGAAGGAAGGATTCAAACTAGCAGGAGACACGTAGATGTGTACATGACTTCGCACGCCGATCTAATAACGCTTGACCTTCCTATGTGTATTGCTTATATACGTTCGATTAGGATGAATACATGCGTAGGCATGTAAGACATTGCGATTTAATACAAAGTCGAAAATTCAAAATTATTTGTCAGCATATTTAAAGAAATTTAACGTATATTTTTCATTATTTAATGCGATGCGAATTAACTTTATCGGTATAAGAAATATAAAATCATATCTGATAATATAAGAAATAATAAAATATAAGAAAATATAAGGATTATGAGAAATATAAAATCACATCTGAAGAAAAAAAACAGTATCTTTTACGAAGGTTTGTCTATTCTATACAAGGACTTGGAAAATTTAAACATCTCAGAATTATTTTTATAGTTATATTTTAAAATGCGTATTTTAGGTATAAGAAATTAAGTTTTAAATTAAAAAACTATCTTTCAAGCGTACAAAGTTTCCGAAAGTAAACGTATAAATATATAAGATTGATTATATTATGTATAATCTAATTATGTTTTCACGTAATTATTAATTCTATGTTATTTGTTACTTATATGTTGCAGACATTATATGTGTGTGATATACATCCAATAAAATGTATAAATTCAATAAAATGTATAAATTCAAAAAAGCTACGCAGTAATATGTGGATTAATGTTATAAAAAAATTTGTGTAATGCAAGAAGAATTAAATAATAGAAAAAGAAAGACAATCTATTTTAATTTATTAATTTAAATTCTATTTTAAAATTATTATTACGATTATTAATATTTTGTTTTGGATAATTGTATTAATTCAATCTGATCAAATTCGGATCAAATCGTAATTGAAAAGATATATTCTATCAATATTGCATGTTTTCACAGTTTTAATGGGCAAACTTTGTTTTTGACAAGCTAGTTTTGATATAGAATTAAATAGAAAAAAGATCACATGTAAATATAACGTATGAAAATGCTTTGATTTCACAATATTTTGATATTCTTAAGATATAAATCGGAATGTCAAAATAAGATGTAAAATTCTCGAAATTTTCAAATATCTAAAATATTTTAATTAGTAAGGTATATGTTATATTGATAATACAAATAATATGGCCTTGATATTATAATGATAAATATAATTATAAAATTTGATTTAAATTAAATAATTAATACATTAAATACATAAATTAAATAATAATCAATTCAAGAAAGTATTAAAGTGAAAGTTACTTCTCGTTTCAGAATATCAATAACAAAAAAATTAAATGAGAGAAAAGAAAGCAGCCTACTTTTAAAAAGACCTACAGCCTACCTTTAAAAAGAGGTTAACTAATTTTTGAAACGAAAAATATCGATTCTAATATACTTAAAATATTAATTCAGAATATAAAATAAAATAATTTTTTTCATCTTTAATAATTAAATTACAATCATCAAAAGAATTTAAAAAAATATTATATATTTTTCAGTCTTCTTTATTTAGATAGAAGATATTAATAATTTAGATTTAAGATATTAATAATTTATAATTTCGTAAAATAATAATATTTATTCTTTTTTCATAACATTATTTTTTGTATATATATTTGCTAATATCTTATTTATTAGAAATATTAAAAATATTAGATATTTTTAATTTTTATAATTATTAAAAACAGTAAAGGTAAAGGAAGTCATTTTATTTTAGAATTAGTATTTTAAAGTCGATATTTATATGTGAATATTGAGAGAGTGACAGAGAAATATGAATTCTGAATATGAAATAAAATCTATACATGAAATTTGATAAAATCGATATATATGTATAATATCTTGAAAAGATTAATGTTATATATAATACAATATTGTTACGCTTTCTAATACAATACTGTAATGAAAGAATATCTTAATAAAGATTCTTAATATGGGATTACACAGTATATATCGTATCAATATTCATTCCTATTAGCGTTCATGTAATGCACTCATATGTAATAGTATTGTAAGATGAAGGGACGTATATCATTTTAGACGAAATTTTTTTACGCAGTAAACTCACATTTTCTTTCTCTTTCTTGTGCGAATATAATAAATGTATTAACCATATATTAACCAAATATTAACCATAAAATCTTCAATATTGTATTAAATCTTTTTTTACTCTTTCATTAGTATTTCATAAAATATATTTCTTGTTTCAGGTCTGTTTTGTGCAGATTAATAATTCCTTATTTACAAAAACATTCAATCGACATGATTGTGTAATCTCTGGTTTCTAATTGAAATTCTGAAAATTTACGTAAAATATATTTACATCTCATATATACACATACATAATTTATTATCATCTAATTTATAACTAATATTTTGCACACGTTTTTAACAAGCAGTATCTTATTGATAAAATTTATATTTTTATCGGAATAAAATTATCTTTTCTGCGTTCTTCAGTCAAATGATTAATTAATTCAAGTGTCATACGCATTAATATTATGTAAATTATGACATTTTGCAACATGAAATAACACAAATGTAATTTAACTTAATAAAAAGAAAATGTGCGAGAAAGATTTTCTTAATTTTTACTTCTCTATAAACAACATTACCTGTTGTTGATAGTCTGGTATCTCTTGTGGGAACTCGAAGGTTGTTTCCTGGGGACTGACGAAGTATCAAAGTTTTCTGATGTGTTCTAGAACAGATTCGGCGATCTCAGTGAGCAAACAATGTATTAGACTCATATCGCATATTAAATACATAAAATCACAAATCGACAAAAATATCTTATTGATTAAAAAATTAGAGAGGTAAATAGCTAACGTTTTAGGCAATACGCAGCAATGCTAGCTCAATCGCGTGTGCCATGCTCATGTCGTTTATACTAAATCCGAGCTAGACACATACATAAATAAGTCACGTACTAATAAACTCGCAACGTATTATAGTTAAAATAACAATACATACTGAGGCAAGCATATTTTCTTTTGTAAAACTTCACGACTTTTAATTTAGATTATTATTAATTTTGTTAAATAAACAGAAAATAATTAAATAAACATTCTATAAAATTATTTCAAATTCTAGTGTTATAAATATGTTAATTTAAAATCCATTAACGACATTTAGAATTAATCGCTTGATTTTTCATTATTGTTTCCTATAATGCAAAGTAATAAAAGTACAGAAATATTTGAAGAAAAGCGGTATCCTTTACTTATCTATTAGCCTTTGAAAAGAATTATAATCTAAAATGTTCTGAAAATTATTGTCGAGAAATTAAATATTAAAAAGATAATTCTACGAAACTAAATTTTAAATTAAAATTATTTCTACAGCATCAGATTTTTTCAAACACTTAAATATGTAAAATTGATATTTAATGATAATATATTCAATGATAAAATTTAACAACTTGTGAAAATATTACGACTTTTAATTGCATTTTTTTTTTTGAAAAAAACATATGTCTATCTTTTACTACAAAGATATTATCTCTATATAAAAAGAATATTTTTAATATCTTATCTATTTGAAATTAAATTACTTTGACAGTAAAAAAATAACTATATAATAAATGACATAAATACAAAATATTGCAGATTTTATGGATAAATTCTAAAGAAATATAAAAATATCCAAGGAAAAATTTTCTTAATTTTAAATATTTCTATATGTTCTCGGAATTTGTTCATTAAAACAGAAAACATTCTTAGTAATAAAATTAATAAACTGTACATAAATAATAGAGAAATGATAAACAAGAATATATTAATCTAAGAAAAACTTTTTCATGAAATTCATTTTCTTCATCAAGTGTTTACGATATCAAGATAGACAATGTAGTGATTAGATATCAAGTTAGACAATATAGTAATTAGAATTAGTATATACTAACTACAATTATCGCACAGAATATATCGACGTAAGTAAATATTATTTCAAGAAGACAATGGTTGCAGGTAGAACACAAGATAAGGGAAACATTTAATTATATAATGCATAATTAATGTACTGCGAAATCGTCTTCGTGTTTTTATATCGAAATAAATTGTCGTATAATACTTCATCAAATGCATGATATCCAAGATCAGACAAGACACAACAGATCAGACTATAATCAATGATATATAATTGAAGGCAGCACCTGTATAATCAACGCATTTCCCCTATTCTCCGGTATTCCCTGTGATAAGAGAGTTTACGGAATATTTGTTTTTGTGTGCGCTCAAATGGCGTAAAGTCCAAGTCGTTTCACAATCATTTCGGGAATTGAAAAAAATTTATTATTTACTGTAAACATATTTATGGAAACTTTCCTTCATACAAAAGATAGATGTATTAAATCGAGAATATATCTATAAAACTGAATATCTATTTTCTTTTTTAAATTAAATATTAATTTTAAAATATAAAATTCGATATATCGTATTTTTCTCTTTTGATTGTGTTTGGTAACATAATTAAAATAAACAAATATAAGAATAATCGCGTAATGCAATGATAGAATTAACGTTTCATAATTCACGATTTTCATTGCAATCAATACTAATGCAATTATAATCAATGATAATTAATTATCAATGATAATTAAATTATCTACTACAAATGAGATTCACATAATAAGAACTACGCGCGCGCGCGCACGCGCACACACACACACACACACACACACACACACACACATGTATTTTCTAGGAATACATATTAGACAAATTATATAGATATTATATTAACATTTCATTTAATATATTTTCCATCCATTAAAAATAACATGTACGATAACGTAAACAGCTGATCGTACGACTCTTAGCATAAACTTTAATGCAAAAAGCCTGGTAAACGTAAAACATTATAAGAATAGCGTATAATTTACGTTATTATTATGAACGCAGAACTATAAAACTTTTTACTTTGCAGCTAATGATCTAAAATGACTTTAAAATTTGATGATTCCACGATTAAGATTTGTACATGATTCCACAATTATTTTTGAAATAAATATACATATAAATTCAAATATACATCTTGCTTGTCTGAATTAATATTATTTAATATAAAGTAGGACTTTTTCACTACACTTATTTCAACATTATTTTCATTATTTTCTAACGATGTATCCATTGTTAAAACCATTCTTCAACCGAAATACAGAGTAAAAGCGTACATCGTTTTCTCTTTGTAACATCTTTCAACATTTTTATAACATTTCACACTTTCTTCAAGAATTTCTTATATAATAAGATGATTAAAGCTCTTCCTCTTTATTTTTTTTACGTATCACTCGTTTTCGACTCAGTGAAAAAATATTTTATTTAGAAATTATTAAGCATTTAATATACGTTGAACAGAAAATGAAAAACTCACCTTTGTATTGTACGGTTTAAAATGAAAAGAGCCGCATATAAGTTATTCTGATATGGGTGCTTTATGAGTCATTCTAATATGAATCGTTTGTATGACAGTTTATAAGTCATCTATAAATAAAAAGCATTTTTTAGATTGGAATTTAAAGAAAATTAGATTTCTATCATTTATATCATTTATATATACATGTCTATTGTTTATAAATCGATCATACAAGTTAAAAGAGAATAATCAATATATTTTATATATACAAGTGAAACGAACCTATATATTGATAGTCGTAATCGAAACTACCAAGTTAAAAGTGATAAAATTAATTGTTTGTATTTTTGTGGCTGATAAAATGTGGTTACAAATAAATGCGACCAACAGTCATAAAAATATTAACCGAGGAAATTAAAGGATACATATTTATATATATATATATATATAAAATCATAATAATGATCAAGATTAATGCCAGTATTCATAGTTTTTATTTCTTCGTTCTAATTTCAAGACCGTCTTAAATAGAATAAAGCGTATTCCTTATAAGATAAAAACCTTTTATACCTTCCTCCCTAGGATAAACACCCTATATACCCCATACCCTATAAATAGGGTAGCTCATCTATCAATCTATCAATAAGATGATCTTAAATATAAGAACGGCAGATTAATGGAACAGTCTAAGACAGGATAAATATCTGAATTAATTGAAAATAAATAAGAAATTAGATCATAAAATGCACTTAAACTACCTAAAATTATGTTATATGCTTTACATTAATTAATAAGAGATACAGTTTATACACATTCAAATGGAAAAAGGCAATTTTTATCTAATTTCATATAAGAAAGTCTGAAAACAAAACAACAATCATGTTCTTTTTCCGATAAATGGAAACGTGAAAAGTTACATGATTTTTGCTTTGATTCGCAAAATACATATTATGAATACATTATTTATTAAATATGTATATTAATATAATTATTTAATTATTGTTTAAAAAGATTTGTTTTCGATTTTCGTTTTTAACAAATATTTTTTATAATCTATTTATAATTTTTGAAAAAAAATCTTTACGGAAGACTTAAATTTTAATGCCGTATAAAATATATATATATATATATATATATATATATATTTATTATATTATATTTGTTATATTTATTAATATAGCTATATTATAACTAAGTTATAGCTATATTTCTGTATTTTACACGTTCATATATATAACCTTTTTTTAAACTTTTAATTTTTTTAAATTTTATTTTTTATATCTTTTTTACTTTTTTTAATATTTTCTAATTTTTAAATTTTTTTTTACCTTTTTTTATATTTTAAGCAAAATTAAGACATTTGATTTTTATATTTTAAGCAAAATATTACATTTAATTTTTAATTTCAAAATATCAGGTACGTATTTTCCTAAAAACTAATAAAAAACTAATAAAAAACTAATAAAATTTTCCTTTAAATTAAATATAATTAAAAACAACGATATGATATCAAAGAGATGGCTAGGAAAAATGATGACGAATAGTATTTGAAAAAATTGATTCTTGTTATCAGAGAAATAAAAAAATTTCATATCAGCCGATATGTATGCTATATTGTAATACGTATTGTATATTGTAATACGAATTGTAATATTATATGTTAGTATTATATATTAGTGCATTAGTACGTTAATAACGTTTTTCTCTGTTTTTCTCTCTTTTTCTCTTTTTATTATTGATTAATCAATTAATCGAATTGGACCACACATATATGTATATGTTGCATATATATATATATATATATATATATATATATATATATATGCAATGGGAAATATTCGTAGTTATACTAAACTAAATATACTCTTCGTACTTCATAGTTATACTAAACTAGATATACTCGTCCCAATTATCATTACATCGCATTTATCACAATTTCCAATAATTAATTAATTAATCAAACATATATTGATTAATCAATTAATCGAATTGGAGCACATATATATGTATATGTATACAATTAATGATAATTATAATAATAATATATATATATATATATATATATATGTATATATATATATATACATACATACATAGAAGTGACTATAATTCTGCTAATATTATAAATTAAATGGATAGACAACAAAAAAAATGCAAACAAAATTAAACTTACTTAATTAATTAAATTTTAGATAATTATGTTTGGATTTCGGATTGAGAAGAAATATAGCAATCATGATTGGAAATCATAATTATTTCATATAATTGATTGATAATAATCTAATATGTTATGTTCCATGTGTAATACATGATTAAACACTTCTTTATAAGTTATATTTATAGAAACTGTGATATATATATATATATATATATATATGTGTGTGTGTGTGTATATTATGTGTATATATGCATGTACGTATTGTACGTATGTTTATATATGTATAACTGTATGTATGTATGTAAATATTTTTTGTCCCGCCAATATGTATTTATATAAGCCAATATAATTAACTCTACTATTTAAATTTTTTAAAGTTTTAGTGCCAAAACACTTGATTAATCAACCAAATGTTTTGGCATTAAAATTTAAAAAAAATTCAAACAGTGGAATTAATCATTTTAGCATGTGGACGGAGCTCGTATATATATATATATATATATATATATATATATATATATATATACACATATATATTTTATATATTATAAAGATAGACACTTTATATATATTATATATTACAGATTAATTATTAATACATTTTCTTCATATATATTGAACTTATTATTTTAATAATATTTTATTTATATCTATTAATATATGTATAATAAACATATTAATACCTATTATTTTTATTATATTTGTTAGAGAGGTGAGATTTTACAATATGTACGCTTTCTTATTATAAAAATTTCATTTTTTATTACATATAATTTTATATAATTTATAAAAGGCATATTTTCTATCACATATAATTTTATTATATATATATAATTATATATATTTATAAAGTTTATCTATGAATCATTTAAAAGATAAAATCACTTAATATTAAATTTTTCAAATTAGAATATTTTGTATAAATAATATTTCTATTTATTAAATACTTTTGATTCGTGCTCTCTACATGTATTCTCAAAGGATATTTCTTGGATTGTGGAAAGAATATAAGGAAACATTTTTCAGCCACTTTAAATCACTTTAGTAGTAACTAGTTGGTTGTTGAAATGTAATTAGCTTAAGAAAAACTTCTCAGTTTTATTTCTCCATCTGAAACTTAACGAACAATCAAAAAATTTTAATAAGCAATTATTATTATTATTCCACCTTTTCACTGTGTCAAAAAAAATGAAAAAAATAGTGACGATATTTTTTGTTAAATAGTCATAGAAAGAACTAGAGAAGAAGAGATTATAAAAATGTTGAAAGATATGTAATTGATCCCATATAAATATTTCCTATATATAGTTATAATTTAAATAATAAAAATCAGCTCTTGAAAATGGATCTGTAATACATATATGTCGCGAAAAGTATAAATATATCTTATTATGATGCCTAAGAGAATGTATAACAAATTACATAAATTGGACCAAAAATGTCAATGAATATGTATATGTTATATAGATTATACGTATTAAAATATGTTTTTTTAATTTTTCGCGCATTATTTTATAACGATAGAATCTTTAAACAATATATTTTCGATTTCTCTTTTCCGAAAATAGGAAGGTCATTTATTGTAGTCTTTCTTCAAAATTGTTTATTTTTAAGATTAAGAACTTCAATAAAATTGTATTTTATTACATTTAAAATTAATTGAAAACAAAATGTATTTATTATAAATGTATTTATTATGTTTTGTCTTCTTGAAATTTACTTTATAAAATAGCGTAATATGTATATCTGATTAACAACTAATAGTTCAAAAATTTGATACATCTCAATATTGTTAGGGACATTGATTTTAAATCAACTATTAAAGAGTCGATTGTTAAAAAATAATGTGCAAGAGAGAGAAGATATTCAGTACATCACAATGTATATGAATTTGCCTTTTAGCTTGTTTCTAATGTATAATAGGCGATGAAAATATACAAAAAAAAACAAAAAAAATAACACAAAAAGAAATTTTAATTAAAACAGAGGACAAGATATTACTAAATTACATCGATATTTATTTGAATTATCAATAAAAGACGACGTATACATACAGTTTTCGATGCTATATAAAAAATTCAAAAGTCAACAGATTAATCTCGGAAGGATTATAAAAACCTGTGGTGAGATGGAAAGAAAAGAAACTGTTTATATCGTAACTTTTTAACAATACTAAACCAAGAGTAAAGAATCTATACCTGAAAATTTCTTTCTCTATAATACATAAGATTAAAACATATTTCAATTGCATCATTTTACTTAATATTTTTTAATTTATATGGTAAATATTTAATATCGTCTTTCACATAAATGCAATCTAATTTTATTATATATTTTCTATTCTTTTATAAGTGAAATATTATTCACATGTGTATCATCAGTTCAAAGACTCTTATACATTTACATCAATTAATCTTATTATATTATATTAAGTATAAAGTTAAATAAATCTTAATAAAACAATAAGTATAGATTGATTGTGAATTTTCAATTATCTGTGAAAAGACAAAACGTTAATCATTATATATAAAAAAGATAAGACGATAGAAATATTAATTTAATTAATTAAATATATATCTCCGCTTTTCTTTTGTGATCCAAAAGCCTAAGGAAAATATGTTAAGAAGATATAAAAAATAATAAAATATCTTAAATTCACAAACTATCTCTGAAAGAATTATATTATTTTACATTATATATTTTTATTCCAATCAATATTCACAATATTTCAAATAAAAAATGAAAGTATCTACTTAAACAAACATGTCTTACAGAATAAATTGAATTCACGGATATATTAGACATAACTATAACTGGAAATAACTCATTTACTCTATTATACTATTCTCTACTGATTAACGTTACCTGTTGACATCTCATATGATTTCTTCTGCGACCTCTTGTTTCAACCGAACTGACGAGCTAGAGATAATTCGAAAACAGCAGAACACATAAATTAACACATCAAAATGATTATACATAAACGATAGGAATACATTTTATGAATTTTTCAAAAACCGTGTATCGCTCTGCGATATTTCGGATATTTCACTAAATAATTGTCGAACACCGAAAAGAACAGATTTATACAAGGAAGGATTCAAACTAGCAGGAGACACGTAGATGTGTACATGACTTCGCACGCCGATCTAATAACGCTTGACCTTCCTATGTGTATTGCTTATATATGTTCGATTAGGACGAACACATGCGTAGGCACGAAGACGTTCCAATTTAATACAAAGTCGAAAATTCAAAATTATTTGTCAGCATATTTAAAGAAACTTAACGTATATTTTTCATTATTTAATGCGATGCGAATTAACTTTATCGATATAAGAAATATAAAATCATATTTCATAATATAAGAAATAATAAAATATAAGAAAATATAAGAATTATAAGAAATATAAAATCACACCTGAAGAAAAAAGAACAGTATTTTTTAAGAAGGTTCGTCTATTCTATACAAGGACCTGGAAAATTTAAACATCTCAGAATTATTTTTATAGTTATATTTTAAAATGCGTATTTTAGGTATAAGAAATTAAGTTTTAAATTAAAAAACTATCTTTCAAGCGTACAAAGTTTCTGAAAGTAAACGTATAAATATATAAGATTGATTATATTATGTACAATCTAAGTACCAAAGTTTTCCAATGTGTTCTAGAACAGATTCGGCGATCTCAGTGAGCAAACAATGTATTAGACTCATATCGCATATTAAATACATATAAATCACAAATCGACAAAAATATCTTGATTAAAAAATTAGAGAGGTAAATAGCTAACGTCTTAGGCAATACGCAGCAGTGCTAGCTCAATCGCGTGTGCCATGCTCATGTGGTTTATACTAAGTCCGAGCTAGACACATACATAAATAAGTCACGTACTAAACTCGCAACGTATTAGTTAAAATAACAATACATACTGAGGCAAGCATATTTTCTTTTGTAAAACTTCACAACTTTTAATTTAGATTATTATTAATTTTGTTAAATAAATAGAAAATAATTAAATAAACATTCTATAAAATTATTTCAAATTCTAGTGTTATAAATATGTTAATTTAAAATCCATTAACGACATTTAGAATTAATCGCTTGATTTTTCATTATTGTTTCCTATGATGCAAAGTAATAAAAGTACAGAAATATTTGAAGAAAAGCGGTATCTTTTACTTATCTATTAGCCTTTGAAAAGAATTATAATCTAAAATGTTCTAAAAATTACTGTCGAGAAATTAAATATTAAAAAGATAATTTTACGAAACTAAATTTTAAATAAAAATTATTTCGACAGCATCAGATTTTTTCAAACACTTAAATATGTAAAATTGATATTTAATGATAATATATTCAATAATAAAATTTAATAACTTGTGAAAACGTTACGACTTTTAATTGCATTTCTTTTGAAAAAAACATATGTCTATCTTTTACTACAAAGATATTATCTCTATATAAAAAAATTATTTTTAATATCTTATCTATTTGAAATTAAATTACTTTGACAGTAAAAAAATAACTATATAATAAATGACATAAATACAAAATATTGCAGATTTTATGGATAAATTCTAAAGAAATATAAAAATATCCAAGGAAAAATTTTCTTAATTTTAAATATTTCTATATGTTCTCGGAATTTGTTCATTAAAACAGAAAACATTCTTGATAGTAAAATTAATAAACTATACATAAATAAGAGAGAAATGATAAACAAGAATATATTAATCTAAGAAAAACTTTTTCATGAAATTCATTTTCCTCATCAAGTGTTTACGATATCAAGATAGACAATGTAGTGACTAGATATCAAGTTAGACAATATAGTAATTAGAATTAGTATATACTAACTACAATTATCGCACAGAATACATCGACGTAAGTAAATTATTTCAAGAAGACAATGGTTGCAGATAGTACACAAGATAAGGGAAACATTTAATTATATAATGCACAATTAACACACTGCGAAATCATCTTCGTGTTTTATATCCAAATAAATTGTCGTATAATACTTCATGAAATGCATGATATCCGAGATCAGACAAGACACAACAGATCAGACTATAATCAATGATATATAATTGAAGGCAGCAGCTGTATAATCAACATTTCCCCTACCTCCAGTATTCCTTGTGATAAGAGATTTTACGGAATATCTGTTTCTGTATGCGCTCAAATGGCGTAAAGTCCAAGTCGTTTCACAATCATTTCGGAAATTGAAAAGAATTTATTATTTACTGTAAACATATTTATGGAAATTTTCCTTCATACAAAAGATAGATGTATTAAATCGAGAATATATCTATGAAACTGAATATCTATTTTCTTTTTTAAATTGAATATTAATTTTAAAATATAAAATTCGATATATCGTATTTTTCTCTTTGATTGTGTTTGGTAACATAATTAAAATAAACAAATATAAGAATAATCGCGTAATGCAATGATAGAATTAACGTTTCATACTTCACGATTGCAATCAATACTAATGCAATTATAATAATGCAATTATAATTAATATCAATGATAATTAATTATCAATGATAATTAATTATCAATGATAATTAAATTATCTACTACAAATGAGATTCACATAATAAGAACTACGCGCGCGCGCGCACGCGCACACACACACACACACACACACACACACACACACACACACATGTATTTTCTAGGAATACATATTCATAGACAAATTATATAGATATTATATTAACATTTCGTTTAATATATTTTCCATCCATTAAAAATAACATGTACGATAACGTAAACAGCTGATCGTGCGACTCTTAGCATAAACTTTAATGCAAAAGCCTCGTAAACGTAAAACATTATAAGAATAGCGTATAGTTTACGTCATTATTATGAACGCAGAACTATTTATACTATAAAAACTTTTTATACTTTAAAGCTAATAATCTAAAATGACTTTAAAATTTGTACATGTTTTCACGATTAAAAGACAATTATTTTTGGAATAAATATACATATAAATTTAAATATACATCTTGTCCGTCTGAATTAATATTATTTAATATAAAGTAGGATTTTTTCTCTACACTTATTTCAACATTATTTTCATTATTTTCTAACGATGTATCCGTTGCTAAAAACATTCTTTAACCGAAATACAGAGTAAAGCATACATTACTATCATTTTCTCTTTGTAACCTTGTAATCTTTCAATATTTTTATAACATTTCACACTTTCTTCAAGAATTTCTTATATAATAAGATGATTGAAACTCTTTCTCCTCATTTTTTTCACGTATCACTTGATGTTTTCGACTCAGTGAAAAAGTATTCTATTAGCAATTATTAAGCATTTAATATACAAAAATTGAACATGAAAATGAAAAACTCACCTTTGTATTGTGCGGTTTAAAATGAAAAGAACCGCATATAAGTTATTCTGATATGAGTGGTTTGTATGACAATTTACGAGTCATCTATAAATTAAAAGTATTTTTTAGGTTGGAATTTAAAGAAAATTAGATTTCTATCATTTATATCCTATCTTATTTATATTCCTTATTTATATTCTATCATTTATATACATATTACATGTCTATTGTTTATAAATCGATCATACAAGTTAAAAGAGAATAATCAATATATTTTATATATATAAATGAAACGAACCTATATATTGATAGTCGTAATCTATCAAGTTAAAAACTAGTAAAATTAGTTTAGTCTGTATTTTTGTGAGAAAAAATTATTTTTGTGGCTGATGAAATGTGGTTACAAATAAATGCAGCCAACATTCATAAAAATGTTAACCAAGGAAATTGAAGGATATATATACATATATATATATACATATATATATATATATGTACATATATATATATATATATATATATATATATGTAAAATCATAATAATGATCAAGATTAATGCCAGTACTCATAGTCTTTATTTCTTCATTCTTAAGAAGAGACCGTCTTAAGAAAAGACATTTTTTTACAGAATAAAAATCCTATAGGGATACCCTAAGTGGTAACCATCTATCATTAAGATATTCTTAAATATAAGAACGGCAGATGAATGGAATAGTCTAAGACAGGATAAATATCTGGATGAATTGAAAATAAATAAGAAATTAGATCATAAAATGCATCTAAACTATCTAAAATTATGTTATACATTTACATTAATTAATAAGAGATACGGTTTATACACATTCAAATAGGAAAAGGCAATTTCTATCTAATTTCATATAAGAAAGCATGAAAGCAAAACAACAATCATGTTCTTTTTCCGATAAGTAAAAATGTGAAAAGTTACATGATTTTTGCTTTGATTCGCAAAATACATATTATGAATACATTATTTATTAAATATGCATATTAATATAATTATTTAATTATTTAATTATTGTTTAAAAAGATTTGTTTTCGATCTTGTTTTTTCACAAATATTTTTTATAATGTATTTATAATTTTTGAAAAAAAATCTTTACGGAAGACTTAAATTTTAATGCTGTATAAAACTATATATATTTATTATATTATATTTGTTATATTTATTATTATAGCTATATTATAACTAAATTATAGCTCTATTTATGTATTTTACACGTTCATATATATAACCTTTTTTTAAACTTTCAATTTTTTTTAAATTCTATTTTTTAAAACTTTTTAACTTTTTTTAATATTTTCTAACTTTTAAATTTTTTTTATATTTTTTTATATTTTAAGACACACACACAAATGAATAAATACATAAAATAAAAATAAATAAATAAAATAAAATCTCATTCTTTCATGCACACTCTGTTATGCACTTTCTTATGTTATCGCATAAAATATGAATAACATAATTGTAATGCATAATATAATATTACACATAACATATTTACAGTATACAAAATATGTTTTCTGTACTTGCCCCTTTTTATAATAAAAAACTAATTTTTAATTTCAAAATATCAGATAAGTATTTATTGTCTGCTAATGAAATTTTATAAAATTTTCCTTTAAATTAAAAAAATTAATTAAAATTAAATATAATAAAAAAAACGATATCAAGGGGATGGCTAGAAAAAATGATGACGAATAGTATTTGAAAAAGTTGATTCTTGTCAAAGAAATAAAAAAATCCCATATCAGCCTATATGTATACTATACTGTAATACGTATAATATTAACTATATTGCATGTTAGAATGTTAGTATGTTAATATATTTTTTTTGTAGGTTACTATAATCACGTGAATAAAAAAGAACATATAAAAGAACACCATATTCTAATAAAATTAATTTGCAGGCTATAAAAAATATGTGAAATTTACACAAGATATTGTGTACGAAAGGAATAAAATGTGCCGATTCTTAAAATACTTTTTTATATTGACTCATTTCCTTTTTTCTCGTGAATCATTTTCTATTACAAATCGCATAATTAAAACAAATGATATGTATTTATTATATGTATGTATATATTTTTTTTCTTGTGTTTAATTATTTTATTTATTTTTGCTATATCTAGTTCCAAAAATGTGAGCCAAGTGGGAAAAAGCCGGTCCTCATATTTAATCATTATGAAAAAATATCTTAGAAACAACCGAAATCTCTTATTAATTGAACGTTTTATTGTAATTGTCTAATTGCCTTCTATGTCCCAAGCCTCTTTATTATAAAGAAGCCAAAGAGACTTCAAAAGTATATTAAAAAATTATAAACAATAATTCTTGAGAATAATATAGAAGATTAAAAGTAAGATGAAAGGTTTCACAAGCATTTCTAGATAAAAAATTTTTAAATTTTAAAAAAGAGTAAATAAACTATTTGTTTTTTCTTTCTCCCTCTCTCTCTCTCTCTCTCTTAGATGAACTGAACAGAAAGAAAAAGTTTGAAAAATAAACAAAATATTATCGAAAGTTTGAAACTTTTACAATAATAAAAGCGTTTCTTGATATGATGTATCCAAAGTTTGCCTTACTGAACTATCCTGAACTTTAAATTATTTTATGATATATTTACATACGTCTACGATAACTTTTTTTATTTTTTTTTTAATTTTAATTTTAATTTTTTTTTTCAATTCTTTTTCTTTGTTTTTTTGCTCTAATTTTCTTTCTTTCTCTTTTTATTATTGATTAATCAATTAATTGAATTGGAGCACATACATATGTATATATATATATATATATATGTTGCATATATATATATATATATATATATATATATATTATATGCAATAGGAAATATTCGTAGTTGTCAAAATTATCACAATTTCAATTAATTAATTAATCAAACATTACGTATATACTTGCGTACGTACAAATATGTATATAAATGTGCACATACATATGTATATGTATGTACACATATATAGTTATATATGTATATATATGTATACAGTTAATAATAATAATAATAATAATAATATATATATATATATATATATATATATATACATACATAAAAGTGAATATAGTTCTGCTATTATGATATAATTGGATAGACAACAAAAAAATGCAAACAAAATTAAACTTACTTAATTAATTAAATTTTAGATAATTATGTTTGGATTTCGGATGAGAAGAAATATAACAATCATGGTTGGAAATCATAATTATTTCATATAATTGAGTGATAATAATTTAATATGTTATGTTCCATGTATAATACATGATTAAACACTTCTTTATAAGTTATATTTATAGGAACTGTGATACATATATATATATAATGTGTATGTATGCATGTATGTGTATGTACGTATTGTACGTATGTTTATATATGTATAACTGTATGTATGTATGTAAATATTTTTTGTACGTATATAAGCCAAAGTGATTAACTCCACTTTTTGAATTTTTTAAAGTTTTAGTGCCAAAACACTTAATTGATCAATCAAATGTTTTGGCACTAAAATTTAAAAAGTTCAAAAAGTGGAATTAATCATTTTAGCATGTATACGGAGCTCATATATATATATGTATATATATATATATATATATATATTTTATATATTATGAAGTATAGACACTTTTTATAATTATACATTACAGATTAATTATTAATACATTTTCTTCATATATATTTTACTTATTTTACTTATATTTTACTTATTTACTTTATTCCATTAATATTTTATTTATATCGATTAATATATGTGTAATGTATAATATAATATATGTGTAGCATATTAATATCTATTAATATATTTATTATATTTATTAGAAAGGCGAGATTTTACAATATGTGCGCTTTCTTATTATAAAAATTTCATTTTCTATTACATATAATTTTGTATATTTTATAGAAGGCATATTTCCTATCACATATAATTTTAAATATTTATAAAGTTTATCTATGAATAATTTAAAAGATGAAATCACTTAATATTAAGTTTTTAAAATTAGAATATTTTCTATAAATAATATTTCTATTTATTAAATACTTTTGATTCGTACTTTCTATATGTATTCTCAAAAGATATTTCTTGGATTATGGGAAGGATGTAAGAAAACATTTTTCAGCCACTTTAAAACACTTTAGTTGGTACTTAACTAGTTGATTATTTGTTGTAGAAAAGTAATTAGCTGAAGAAAAACTTCTCAGTCTTTTATTTCTCCATCTGAAACTTAACGAACAATCAAAAAATTTTAATACGCAATTATTATTATTATTATTCCACCTTTTCACTGTGTCAAAAAAAATGAAAAAAATAGTGACGATATTTTTTGTTAAATAGTCATAGAAAGAACTAGAGAAGAAGAGATTATAAAAATGTTGAAAGATATGTAATTGATCCCATATAAATATCTTCTATATATAATTATAATTTAAATAATAAAAATCAACTCTTGAAAATGGATCTGTAATACATATATGTCGTGAAAAGAATAAATACATCTTATTATGATGCCTAAGAGAATGTATTACAAATTACATAAATTGGATCAAAAGTGTCAATGAATATGTATATGTTGTATTTATATAGATTATACGTATTAAAATATGTTTTTTTAATTTTTCGCGCATTATTTTATAACAATAGAGTCTTTCATCAATATCGATTTCTCTTTACCAGAAATAGGAAGGTTAGTTATTGTAATCTTTCTTCAAAATTGTTTATTTTTATGACTAACTTCAATAAAACTGTATTTTATTACATTTAAAATTAATTGAAAACAAAATGTATTTATGTTTTGTCTTTATGAAATTTACTTTATAAAATAGCGTAATATGTATATCTTTTTCACAATTAATAGTTCAAAAATGATTGATACATCTTGATATTGTTAGAAGGAACATTGATTTTAAATCAATTGTTAAAGAGTCGATTGTTAAAAAATAATGTGCAAGAAAGATATTCAGTACATCACAATAACAAATGTATATGAATTTGCCTCTTAGCTTGTTAAATGTAATAGGCGATGAAAATATACAAAAAAAATAATACAAAAAGAAATTTTAATTAAAACAGAGGACAAGATATTACTAAACTACATCGATATTTATTTGAATTATCAATAGAAGACGACATACACATACGATTTTCGATGCTATATAAAAAATCAACAGATTAACCTCGGAGAGATTATAAAAACCTGTGGTGAGCTGGAAAGAAAGAAAACTGTTTATATCGTAGCTTTTTTAAAAATATTAAACCAAGCGCAAAGAATCTATACCTGAAAATTTCTTTCTCGATAATACATAAGATTAAAAAATATTTCAATTGCATCATTACTTACAGGGAATTTTATAAATACATTTTTTAATTTATATGGTAAATATTTAATATCGTCTTTCACATAAATGCAATCTAATTTTATTATATATTTTCTATTCTTTTATAAGTGAAATATTATTCACATGTCAGTTCAAAGACTCTTATACATTTACATCAATTAATCTTATTATATTATATTAAGAATAAAGTTAAATAAATCTTAATAAAACAATAAGTATAGATTGATTGTGAATTTTCAATTATCTGTGAAGAGATAATACGTTAATCATTATTTTTAAAAAAGACAAGGCGATAGAAATATTAATTTAATTAATTAAATATATATCTCCGCTTTTTTTCTATCACCCAAAAGCCTAAGGAAAATATGTTAAGGAGATATAAAAAAATAATAAAATATCTTAAATTCACAAATTATCTCTGAAAGAATTATATTATTTTATATTATATATTTTTATTCCAACCAATTTTCACAATTTCAAATAAAAAATGGAAGTATCTACTTAGACAAATATGTCTTACAGAATAAATTAAATTCACGGATATATTAGACATAACTATAACTGGAAATAACTCATTTATTCTATTATACTATTCTCTACTGATTAACGTTACCTATTGACATCTCACATGATTTCTTCTTCGACTTCTTGTCAAGACTTTCTTCAACTGAACTGACGATCTAAAGATAATTCGAAAACAGCAGAACACATAAATTAACAGACCAAAATAATTATACATAAACGATAAAAATACATTTTATGAATTTTTCAAAAACCGTGTATCGCACTGCGATATTTCGGATATTTCACTAAATAATTGTCGAACACCGAAAAGAACAGATTTATACAAGGAAGGATTCAAACTAGCAGGAGACACGTAGATGTGTACATGACTTCGCACGCCGATCTAATAACGCTTGACCTTCCTATGTGTATTGCTTATATACGTTCGATTAGGATGAATACATGTGTAGGCACGTAAGACATTGCGATTTAATACAAAGTCGAAAATTCAAAATTATTTGTCAGCATATTTAAAGAAATTTAACGTATATTTTTCATTATTTAATGCGATGCGAATTAACTTTATCGGTATAAGAAATATAAAATCATATCTGATAATATAAGAAATAATAAAATGTAAGAAAATATAAGGATTATGAGAAATATAAAATCACATCTGAAAAAAAAAAACAGTATCTTTTACGAAGGTTTGTCTATTCTATACAAGGACCTGGAAAATTTAAACATCTCAGAATTATTTTTATAGTTATATTTTAAAATGCGTATTTTAGGAGTAGTATAAGAAATTAAGTTTTAAATTGAAAAACTATTTTTCAAGCGTACAAAGTTTCCGAAAGTAAACGTATAAATATATAAGGTTAATTATATTATGTATAATCTAATTATGTTTTCATGTAATTACTAATTCTATGTTATTTGTTACTTACATGTTGCAGACATTATATGTGTGTGATATACATCCAATAAAATGTATAAATCCAATAAAAAGCTACGCAGTAATATGTGAATTAATGTTATAAAAAAACTTGTGTAATGCAAGAAGAATTAAATAATAGAAAAAGAAAGACAATCTATTTTAATTTATTAATTTATTAATTTATTAATTTATTAATTTAAATTCTATTTTAAAATTATTATTAGGATTATTAATATTTTGTCTTGGATAATTGTATTAATTCAATCTGATCAAATTCAGATCAAATTGTATTAATTGAAAAGATATATTCTATCAATTGCGTGTTTTCACAGTTTTAACGGGCAAACTTTGTCTTTGACAAACTAGTTTTGATATAAAATTAAATAGAAAAAAGGTCACATGTAAATATAACGTATGAAAGCGCTTTGATTTCACAATATTTTGATATTCTTATCTAAGATATAAATCGGTTGAAAGTCAAAGTAAGATGTAAAATTCTCGAAATTTTCAAATATCTAAAATATTTTAATTAATAAGGTATATGTTATATTGAAAATACAAATAATATGGCTCTGATATTATAATGATAAATATGAAAATAATTAATACATGAACACATAATACATGAATACATAAATTAAATAATAATCAATTCAAGAAATTATTAAAGTGAAAGTTACTTCTTATTTCAGAATTTCGATAGCAAACAAATTAAATGAGAGAGAAGAATGCAGCCTATCTTTAAAAAGACCGGTTAACTAATATTTAAAATGAGAAATATCGATTTTAATGTACTTGAAATATTCAGAATATAAAATAAAATAATTTTCTTCATCTTTAATAAATAAACTACGATCATCAAAAGAATTTAAAAAATATATATTTTTCAGTCTCCTTCATTTATGAGATATTAATAATTTATAATTTCGTAAAATAATAATATTTATTCTTTCTTCATAACTTTATTTTTTGTATATATATTTGCTAATACCTTATTTATTATAAATATTAAAAATATTAGATACTTTTAATTTTTATGAAAAACAATAAAGATAAAGAAAATCATTTTATTTTAGAATTAGTATTTTAAAGTCGATATTTGTATGGGAATATTAAGAGAGAGACAGAGAAATATTAATTCTGAATATGAAATAAAATCTATACATAAAGTTTGATAAAATCGGTATATATGTATAATATCTTGAAAAGATTAATGTTTTATAAAATATTTTTACATCTTCTGATACAATACAATACTGTAACAAAAGAATATCTAAAAGATTCTTAATATGAAATTACACAGTATATATCCTATCAATATTCATTTCTATTAGCATTCGTGTAATGCGCTCATATGTAATAGTATTGTAAGATGAACGGACGTATATCTTATTAGGCGCAATTTTTTTACGCAGTAAACTCACATTTTCTTTCTCTCTCTTGTGCGAATATAATAAATGCATATATTAACCATAAAATCTTCAATATTGCATTAAATGTTTCCTACTCTTTCATTAATATTTCATAAAATATATTTCTTGTTTCAGGCTTGTTTTGTGCAGATTAATAATTCCTTATTTACAAAAACAGTCGATCGACATGATTGTGTAATCTCTGGTTTGTAATTAAAATTCTGAAAATTTACGTAAAATATATTTACATTTCATTTATACACATATATAATTTATTATCATATAATTAAGTCGTCTGTTTTATAAAATACATGTGTTTCAAAAAAATATATTTAAAATTATTATGAAATTCTCCCACAAATTTTTGATATATCAATTCTTATTCGCTTTTTACAAAGACTTATCATAGCAGCATTTCGAGATCACATTTTTTTAAAATTTCATCAAGTTTAGATTAAGTCATTCGCGTCGCATCGTGTAGAGTTCTGTTTCGATCAATACAAAAATAATTTATTAAAATAATAATGTACAAAATATTCTTTTTTGACATTAAGAAATGTGCACTTATGTTAACAATAAATGCAACATGAGATATGACGTTAAAATCGTCAGGAACTTTATGAGATTTGTGCTGACATGCGATCCTGCGCCAGTCGCTCGATATTTCCCTGCAAAAAAGTTACTAATCAATTAACTATATATTATACTATATATTAATAAGTAAATAATATATATTTATAAGTATTTTAAAATCATAAGTATACGAAAATATATTATACAGAGAATTATCAAGTATTTTCTTTCTCCTTTTAACGATAAATCCGATGCAGATAAGCTTTTTATTTAAAAGGACACATTTTACGAGTAAAATATTTGTATGTATTATATAAATAATGATAATAATAATTAATTATATAATCGAAATTTTCACAAATATGAAAAATAAATATTATTAATAACTTATATATATTATTTTATTGTATTTTTTTATTGTATAGATGAATGCAATATACTTACAGACGGAGGCTAAATATGAATGACAACAACATTCTCGTAGTCTCATATATTCCGCGCAATTCCCAGCTTGCACTTTAGGTTGTTCTGGTCCCACGCGACAAGTGTGTTCGATGAAAGGAAATACTTCTAAAATATAATAGAAAGACAAATAAATATGTGAACAAGACTACATTTGGTAAGCAATTTTTTTAAATATTTTAATATTATTTCTTTAGTTTTTTTAACTTTATATATATTAAATATTTATTTCTAAAATAAAATATAATAGTCAACTGCACGCGTCAATGAAATATTTGCCTATTTTTTCTTTATTTATTTCTTGCATTATTACATTTAAAATCTAATGTGATATTAAGCTTTGATTAATTTAATATAAAGTAATTGTAAAAATAATTGATTAATATCATTTGAGCTGTAAAATCGTGCAATTAAGGAAGATGAAAGAAATATGATTTTGATAAAATATATAAAATAATTCTGCATCTGGATACATTTGCATATTTACCTATTATCAAAGACACATTGTAATAATTAATCGGTTTCATATAACATAGAATGAGAATTAATTCACGAGATAGATTTTTTCCGGCGCATTATCAATTTCAAAGACGATAGCTTTTCTAACAAATGCCTCAAATTCTCGACTTCGATTTTTCAAAATATGCACAAAAGTCGAAACAAACTGATCGAATTAAAACGATTTTCAAATGTATCCTATGTTCTTAATCGTTAGAAAAGAGTGCAGACTGAGTGACTTACGGACGTGATCGTAAAGTGATTCGGAAATCATGTAATCAATGTGCGTAATCACGTGCGCTACGTGTGGCAATGCAACTCTGTACATCGCCGAGAACCTCGCAATGACAGCAGATTCAACGTTTTAAATAAAAAGCAAACAAAAATGTATATAATTTACCAGCATTAGACAACTTTAGTCCAAGAATAGTGTCTTCTTTTTCTTCGTATTTCTTTATCTTTAAAGATAAAAATATGATATTCCATAGAAATTTATAATTTATATTTTCTTATACTTGGATTAAAAAAAAGCAAATCAAAAATGAGAATCAAAAATGGAGTATCTTACAAATATAACTTTCTAGAATTAATGATTTCAAATTCAAAAGCGACAGAAAGTGTTTAATTGCGATTTGAGATATAATTCTTATAATATATTTTATTTAATTCTCTCTTTTATTTAATCTCTCTTTTCAATATTTAATTTTTTTTTAGAATTTACATCAAATTAAAATCGAGAAAAATTCTTCGGTATCAAACTTAGATACATATTTGTTGCATGAATCGAATACTTTAGAGTGTGCTACATAGTTAATTAGAAATTCGAGCAGAGGAGGTCAATGACAATAATTCTGCGAAGTATTCGAGAAATGAATGAGCTGAATATTTGATTCACTTGACAACTCGTACGAGTGCATCACTCACTGGATTCTACTATCAACGCATTAACGTGTGTGTAGAAGATAAGGATAACTCATCACGACGAGCGATGATTTCCTAAACAGGTGATTGACCTTCCGTTCAGCTGGAGGAAACGTCATCAGTTTCTTTCGCGTTTAAGAATCACACGATCTTTGCATTGGAAAATCGTGCAAATGACAATTGATAATGCATAATTCAAAATGTCGATTATTACAATTACTGCAATTTATAAATTTATAATTTGCAATTTATAAATTATTCGTAATAAATCAAGCTTAACAGTCAGTAATTAATATTTATATATATATTTATATTTAATTACCATTATTTATTTATTTTTTAAACTATTATTTATTTTTAATATTTATTTTTAATATTTAATATTTTTCTTTGATTTTAATTTTTGATAAATATTATTATCTTACAAAGAAAAATATTAATATAAAATTAATATAAAAGATAATAATAAATATCTATATAAAAAATAAATATTAGTTTCAAAAATAAAAAAATAATAATTAAATATAAATATAAATATTATAATTCGTTATAAAAATAATAAAATCGTTATTTTACATACATCTTTTGAATTTAACAAATTTTTTTCTATAAAAAGAGTAGTATAAAAATCCAGGAAATGGTAGGAAAGTTTTGCTAACAGTTTATATTATCGCAAAAATTCTTTCAACAAACGCTATTTCATGTCCCTGCATAAATTCCGTCGGTATTTAAGCTATTACGTCTATGATTTCCAAGGTTTTCCAAAAGTACCTGCGCGAAAAAACTGCAGGCAGAATACCCCGACGTAAATATAAGCATTTTGTTGATTCCACAGTTATTCGGAGGGTTAACACGCGGTTCGAACCGTAACGGCACGTAATAATGCCATTATCGACTAAAAATAATTGCGGTCACGTGGAATCGCGCGATTTACTATTGTGCGCTATCATTGCCGTTGCTCTAAATTTGCGCGGAGCGCATTGCACAAGGTTTCCTCGATTGTTCACGCACGAATTCGCGGACCAAAACGTTGTTTTTCACGCGACTTGTGTCGCCGCGTGAATAAACGTGAAGGACGAGAGCGGAAAATGCGACTTCCGTCGTCCGTGAGAAGGCTAAGCCGATTTCGATCGCCGTCCCGCTTCGATAGCTCTTCGCAGAGCGAATTATCTGAGCGCAACTTTATTAAGGCACATTCGTCATTCGCAGTTTTACGTAAATAATGCATCTACTTGAAATACTACCGTTGTAGTTGCTATCGCAGCAGCAGTGATCGTTGATGACGCTCCCATTCTTGCAGTAAGTCATCTCGGAGCTGGTGCAAGGCTTACATCCTGGCATGGGTCCTGCGACATATTGTGTGAGATAATAAATTGAAAATTTTCAAACGAAATTAAAAACGAGAAAAATGTAGCTAATTGAAAAAAAAATATCGCTATACATTGTTATCTACAATCTGTAGTCTATGGATGAGAGCAGAATGACACGAGCGAGAAGACACTCTTCAGCAGCTTATTAATTAAGGATCATATTTAATTATATTTCATTAACCTCGATGCCGGCGACTGCGATTAAAATACATGACAATCGCGTCGGATCCGCATCTGTAATTCACAGTAATTGGCATCTCTCTCTCGAGGCTCCTTACGTAATCCTTTTTGAAATCGTGTCGTGGACAGCGAAGCGAGTTATCTACCCGTGATCCCCTGTCGTATCGACATCGATCGCGAATATATTGTGCAACTTTTGAGATCGTAAGATTACAGTCTCATTTGTTTCGCGGGGGACAACAAATCGTGTCCCTTAGATTTATGCTATTTCTCATTGATTAAATTAAAAGAATGAAGACTCTTCATTCTTTGAACAATGTTGAGTGAAAATTTCCAATTTGCATTGACAATATTAAGCGATAATTACTAATTTTCTTAGCTATTTGATGAATAATTAATGTAATTAAAATATATAATTATATACTTATTAATTCGTTTGAAATTTATATTCAAACTTCCTTGATCCTTTAAATTATCGCAACGAGAATCACATAGACAATTTTTGTTATATGATATGGATTATATTAGATGCTGCATGTATTGTAGACATATGACAAAACACTCGTACATGAATAGATGAAAAAGAACGCGGTTATAGGAGAAATCGTGACCGGAAAATCGAATTTTCATGCACTAACGATAAAAGAATACATCTAACATTTCTACGCTTATTAGTGTCATTCTCAATCAGCGATTAATGATAACAATGACCATGAGTGCGACTATCTTTATATAACGATTGAAGCTGTGTTGAATTGTACAGTAATTTGTTGAAAAAAATGATTTGATGATAAGTTTAAAAATTATTTCAGAAAATTAAATCGTACAAACTAACCAATTATTTCTTAATTTAATCTAATTACTATATTAAATCTTTCTTAATAGAAAAAAAATATTTCATACATATAAAAACATACACAAGCACACTACAAAGTTAAATTATTGAACAAAATTGATAATATTAATAAATTAGCGATGGTTGAAACAAAAAAATTAATATATTTTTATCGGCGAAAATTTTTACTCGTTACCTTTTTCATCCATGCCGGCTAGAATGTGATTGACAGAACAAATATTTCGAAACGTCAATCGTGGTTAGGTGGATCAAAGCGGCTATTCTTAGCGAGAAGAAAGATACATTTCTGTATCACGCGTAGGGAAGCTTTATAGATCAACCATAGGATTCGAATAAGAGATTAATGCGATGCTTTTAGTAACTAGGTTAAATTGGATAAGACCGGGAAAAATGCCAATCAAAAAATTCTTTAAGGAATCTATAGTTTTTTGACATACTTGACCTATTCTTTAAAATGTCAAAGTTTAAAATTGATAATTTTTTAAAATTACAAACGATTAAAAAGTGGATAGTTTTTGTCATGTTTTTATCTTATTTTTTTGTAAATTAAGCTTGTGAAAGATAATATTATAAATAGATAGCAGAAGTTTATAAAATTCCTATTTAAATATATAAATTGACTTTATGATAAACTTATTATTGAAGATTCTTACTTATCAAGATTTTAAAAAATAAAAAAGTTCTATTTAAAGTTTGAAAAGCAATTTGAAAAGCAAATTTTGAAAGCAGATTTTAAAGTAGTCAAAAAAATGATAAATCTAAAATAGGACTCACGTACATAATATGTTGATAAAGAAACTATATTGTGCACAAATTTTAGTTTGTATATTTACAAGGAAATCATTACTGAGTGATTAGTTTTTAGAGCTTTCCACTTGCCTCTCCCACAATCATATCTTAAAACATTATTTTTGTACAAACAAAATTTATCTCACATACAAAGAACAATTCTAACTATCAAGGAATTCTATTTTTCTATTTATTTTATTTCGTAACATTTACATAATATTTATAGATAGCTATTTATACATTAATAATCTAACCTAATCTGTAACAGGATTTGATCTACGGGATTCATATAATATGCTATTTATAAATTAGTAATCTTATCTAATCTGTAGTGAGATGTCTAGTGGGAGAATGACCTAACGATTGAATAGAATCAATTATTGTTCCTTTACACAAAAAAGACTCTTTAAATAATGCGATAATTATCGCTTGCTTGCTATCATACCTGTAGAAAGATCATGCTTCACGTAATCAATGACCAATTAAGATCAATTAACTATCTCTCACAACAAATACTTGAAGAACAATCTGGTTTTGTTAAAGGAAAAAGAACACGTGAGCTCATCTTAGATGTTGGACAGATAATCGAACAGTCACAGGAGTTTTATGTGTAACTCTTTACATAGAGTTTATAGATTATTCCAAAGCATTTGACTCTATAATCTAGAACAAACTACGGGAAATATTGCAGGCAATAAGGGTACCAACACATTTAATTTTCCTTATTACACAGCTGTATAATAATAACTACGCGACAGTAAGAATTGATAATCACTACTTGAGCAAATTTCAAATTAAATCAGGCACTCGACAGAAATGTATTCTATCTCCTCAATTTTTTAATATCTATACCGAATATAAAAAAAACACTGGAGGATTGGGAGGTTATTGGCGGCAAAAAGATATCAAATTTGCGTTATGCAAATGACTGCTATTCTAACTAACAGCTCAGAAGAATTAATTGAATTACTCAACAAACTTGAATAAGAAAGTAATAGAATTAAGAATTAACAAGATTAAAACAAAAATTATGATAGTCGATCGCGCTAACTTTAACAACTCGACATTGCGCAATATTGGTAAATACGAAGTTCTATCATTCATTTACTTGGGTTCCTTAATTACTAATAACGGAGACATGTGAAAAAGTGAAATAGTGTAAAGTAACCAAAGTAGCAACTAGGAAAATGTATAAAATCTGGAAAGACAATCATATCTCTAAACAAATCAAAGTTAAATTAGTTAGAATCTTATATTCCTTATTTTTATGTATGATTCGGAAACATAAATCCTTTCCAAAACTGATAGGAAAATCGAGAAATCTGCCTAGAAATGTATGTCTGGCACAGAATACTTCGAATATCTTGGACTGTCAGAATACTAACGTATCCATTCCTAAAAAACTCGACATCAGGAAACGTCTTTCAACAATTATTGAGGAAAATACTTTGGACACATTACAAGAAAAGATAGCTTGAAACGTTTGGTAATAAAAGGAGAAGTTCTTGGATTGGATAGTGAAATCAAGAAAAAAAGATAGAACCAATCTATTCAGAGGATTGGGAGAAATGGCGAGACAAAATTTCATCCCTAAATCATAGGTGACTCTTCAATAATGAAGAAACGACTGAGAAGAAGACGAATACTATTTATCATTTCAAAATTATGCTGTTTATTACTTCAAAAAAGAATTCTTACCGGAATATGTCTTCAGTTTCTTCGCTTCAGCAAGCGCGTCCTCGCGAAGGACTTCATGATCAAGGACGTACTCATAATCAGGATGATGGATTACTGTGACTGCCTCGAGATTGTCGAGGATCAGGAAAAGCATCAGGATACTAATCGCGCCGATGTCGATCATGCTAGCATCGCCTCGTTTCTCATTTTCGATTGTTTTCTTCTCAAAGGCGATGGACGATTTTCGTCTTGATTTCTTCTCGCAAAAATAAGTTCTATTGAAATGAAAATAAACACTGTCACACATGAAGGAAAATATAATTGATGTTATGGAAAGTTAGTTAGGAATCTTATAATTACGATATAACCAACAGTTAATTTAAATTTGATGTTCTTTAGCAAAATTTAAATTACTTGTTAATTATTCAAAAATTAAATATAAATGTCTCTTTATTGATAATAATAATATTATACATATATCTATATATATTTCGAAGATTATACGGACATATTTATTTTGAATGAAAGAAAAAACTAAATTCAACTATAATTCTAAATTCAACAAGCGCCTCTTTTACCATTCGGAATTTCAACGGGGCAACACAATAAAGAGACTATCGCAACCGGAAGTGTACGAAAGATACCGTGGACGCGACGACGTCCTCGGTATCTTTCGTACACTAACGGTTGCAATAGTCTCTTTATTATGTTGTTCTCACGTGATAAAGATTATAACTTTCGATGTTATGCCATACATAAATTATCTTTAAAAATTTATTTAAATTTCCTTTTTTTTCCTTTCTTAATTAAATTTCCTTTTTTTAATTTAAAAAGAAAATTACAAATTTTTAAAAATTCATTGCTTCTTGATCACCAAGAGCAAGACATCGCATCGCATAAAATTGATCGTGCATTCGCGATCGCTCGTTTTGCGTCAACTGCATAATTGATCGTTGCATTTGTTTCCGGTATACATAGGATCGATGTGGTGTTTTAATATTTAAGAGTGGACGTGAGAAAAGGTACCAGTAAGAACCTTTGATATCGATCGCCACGATTCGCTTCGTCCCGGGAATAGATGATTCATCCCCCGCTGGTCACGATTTAATTCGACGCACGCAGGGTTCCCTCCCTTTTGTCCAGGACGAGTCGTTTCATTTTCATGAGATTGACTTTGTGAGACAAATATTTCGCAGTTTAAGAAAGAAATTCGAGCGGTATAAAAAAAAAGATTAAAACGCAATTACATCGATTTTAATCATCCAAAAACGAACAATTTTATCATCACGAAAGTGACCGCGTGTGGGCGTTGTTAATGTGTAGATTTGAATTCTCAGAAATTACTTTCTTTTATATTAACATGTCTGAGATAATTATAGGGAATTATTCTTTCGATAAAATTCTTTCTTCTTTATTTTTGAAAAGTTTTATTAGATTTTTAAAAATTCATTTTTATCACTTTTGTTATGTTATATTTATATTTATATATTTTAAAAAAAGCTCTTCTATAACTTTTTTAATTTTTAAATTAATATTATAATTATTACATTTTATTTAATCTCTAAAATATCATAACACTTTTGAAAACGTTACTTTCTATTTTTTAATCTTTTTTCTTGGAAAAGAAAACCCTTTATTCTTACGCAATGTAATTTTCTAAAGTAGATAAAACGTATTCCCTCTTTCGTTGAGACGTTAAATGCCCTTAATTATGTTTTTCGTTGGTACTTCGTCTCACACATTGAAATAAAAACCGCTTAGAAGAGATACTCGCAAACGATGATAACATCGACAGGAAGAGACTCCGGGATGTCACCTTTTTGTCCCCGAGAGCAAGACGTTCACGTTTCGCGCTGGCCGCCCTTAATTGGCTTTAATTAACCGACTGTCATCAAGCCTGTGACTCATAACGGCGTGCAACTCGAGCAGGGTTCTCATATTATCGCCTTTTTACGCCCTATTACATATTTGTTGAAATCCACACGACATACAGATTATCTAATGTTTGATAATACAATAGTTTTCGCGATTTTTCGTAACAATATAAGATTGAAAAAGAAATTACAATCAAAAATAATAATAAAAGAGGCTAAGGATCATAACATTTGGTGTTGATAACGTAAAACTATAATTAATTGAAGATGATCCAGAACGGATCGAAACGTTACGTTTGTCAAATTTTGATTTAATATTAAATTGATATCACGAATTTTCAACTTTCAACTTATTTTATAATTAATACTAATTAAATGTATTTTTACGTTATCAACACATTAACATTATGATCCTTAGCCTTTTTTATAATTATTTTTTGATTGCTTTTCATATGGATTCTTCTCTAATAATTTTTGGAAATTGCAATGTAATTTTATTAGCCAATGATATATTTAATGATATATTTAATAATATATTTATGATATATTTATTGATATCTAAATTGATTTATAATTTCTAATTAATTATATCTCATTCTATCTTGGACATAAAATCGTCTTTTTTTTTCGTCAGAACATGAATTTAAGAACCAATTTACGCATATGAAGTCAATAGAAAATAATATAAAAACAAATAGATTTTTTATTACGCCTTATAAATAATTATAAATTTGTTGAGATCTTTCAATCTATTCTATATAGTTTTATAATTGGATCTTTTACATCTAAAACATTATTACACGATTCGCACTTTTTATTTTGCTAAAATTTTTTGAGTCTACATGTATATGTTTTAAAAACATAATTACGTTTTAGTAATTTAATTTTCCTTGCATTTTAGATTTTTAACATAAAAAATAAAAAATAATAATAAGATAAATCAAAAATAAAATAAAAAATTAAAAAAAAATTTATGTTTAATAATTTACATTGATCTCTGTATAATATTTAACTTTATAATCCAATTATAAAACTATATAGAATAGATTAGAAGATCTCAACAAATTTATAATCATTTAAAAATCTTTTAAAAATCTATTTGTTTTTCTACTATTTTCTACTGAAATATGCTACTGAAATATTCTATTCATATGCGTAAATTGGCTCTTAAATTTATGTTCTGACGAAAAAAAAGATTTATATGCAAGACAGAATGAGACATAATTAATTATAAGTTATCAATTAATTTAAATATCAACAAATTTAATTATTGGCTATTGTTATATTTAATTATTGGCTATTGTACTACTATTACATAAAATTACACTTTATTACTTTATAAACAAATATTATTTTTTAATAAATATTTGATACAAGTATATGAATGATATATTCTTTAACTTCAAATAATTTAGTTAAATTAAAAATTAAAGAATTGCACTGTATAAAACATTATTAAAAATATTCAAAGAAATTAATGAAACCTCATGTATTTTTAATACTCTTATATAAAATGCATTTTATGGATCTCATTATTATTATTGACAGATATTATGTCATGATATGAAATTACTGTTCTAATTCATATTATTTTCTAGAATTTGTTTACATACCGGGAAATGATGCACTTAATCAGAAGTCACATGATTTGAATTCCTATCATACCACATGATCAAAACAACATGAAACGCGGTATCGGTATTATTTTTTCTTATGCATACACGCTTCGTTAAATGATTACATAAATGGCGCAGATAAAGCATTGCAGATAAAATAAATAAATATCGCAATCCTCTTACCAGCATTTCACGCTCTTTGTGTGTATGTGCGACTTCCAATGATAAAATATCCGTTTTTTTCGATCGTACTGCTCCGAAACATTCCTCACAACTCCATAAACTTTAAAAAAATTCAATATACACAAATAAATAAAGTAAGTAAATTTCAATATGCACAAGTAATCCAACAATTATCTTCAATATTACATCAAAACAAAATAGAATTGACCTCTCACCATATCCTTGCGCAATTTACAAGCCTTTTATTTCTCTCTGATTCCCTTATTTCGCATTAATATTTGGGAGAGAATACTTCCTCAGAATATTAATCTTCTTACAGATTAGTTTAATTATATCTGTGGCACACGTCGATCATAGCGATCAAGATTTGCGCGAATTCGCGACGACGGGAAAGCGCGAATGGACGGACGAGCGACCGTCGAAGACTGCGGATCGCGTTGAACTGCGACTGAAGGGCTGAAAGGAGCGCTGAACAGCCGCCCCACACCGCCTTCGGTGTCGCCTCTGCTACACGTTGCACAAACAGACACCGAATTCGGTGTCTGTTCAGCATCACACGTGCCTTAAGTATAAAACAATAAATCGCCAAACACAAATGTGTGAAATTTCATAAAGAAGATGTATCGATTTCAACGCATACTTGTTTAAAAAAAATCCGAAAGAAAGAAATGCTCACTTTTAATTTTAGTTTATACATAATTTGATATATGCAATATATGTATGCACTTAAAATAAAATAAGATTCTTTTTTTATTCTAATTTAAAAAATTTTTCAAATCTTTAAGAAAATTTTTGTAATAATTCGTAATGATTATGTTTCTGAACTTTTGTTTCGTTCGAAATCACTTGATGCACTTGATACATTTTTAAATTTTAAATTTTAACTACCAAGTTTTAATTTTTAAATGAATATTATTTTCTTAAGATGTGGATATCTATTCGAATGTATAAGATATCTATTTGAAATGAAAGAAATAATAATATTAATATAATTTAAAAGAAAAAAGAGAATTAAAATATCTGTTTATAATTATTTTGATATTAATATGTGTATAATATAATTGTAATTCTATTTTGAAAAATGTTTTAAAATCTTCCACTTTGATTGTATTAATCTGTAATTTTATGCTATTTAATCCAACGAAAATAAGCTTTTCTATTAACTTTACTCAACCTAAACTGACAAATGGACTGATTCTTTAGTATCTCCGTATGTTGCGAGAGTCTATTAAGCTAGTGTAATAATGCGAAACCGGGGTGGCTTGCATCGAAAGAGAGAAAGCACGTACGTGCTACCAAAATAGCATCTCTCATTGTGCGTGCAGAATAATGTAAACGAAAAAGGCACTGGTATTCTCTTGCAAATTCGACTTTGCAAATAAGAATTTAATAATAGCATTTAACTACGCAGAATGTTTGTTTTTTTTTCTTGATTTTATTAATAAAATGTCAATCACAGACTCTAATATATTTTTTATTCATTTAAATAAATTAAAATATTTATCTTATTTATTAATGCTCTTATTTAACTTTTCTAATTTCAGATTTATAACATGAAGGAATAAATGTGATAACAAAATTTTTATTAATTACATTGTATATATAATCAATGATTATTATTATTTTAAAATATTAACTGCGCGAATTTCGATAAAAATCCAATGAAAAAATTTTCTTTTCCAGGAGAAGCATACTTTAAGAAAAAAAATATGTGACAATTGTAGGTGGATCACCTTTTTCTTTTACTGTCAACGGTCAATGCCAAGGCTTTTGTTATGATGCACGCACACGCGTGCGTACCTTTCTTATTCAGCCGTTAGCTGTACCTACGAATAAAAATTATGAATAGTAGGCAGCGTAGGTAGGTCTCCGGACGGGGACGTTCACAGACGCAGAAAAATGCACGTACATGCGGCACGCATGCTGGTGCGGACACCTGGCCACGATGGGATCGGAGACGTACGGTGCGTGTACGGGTCGCTTTATGGTGGCGAACTCGTAAGGAATGCTCGGTAGGTCCCCTCACGTACGCTATTGATCCTGACGAGACTTCTCATTTCGTTTCAATCCCAAGCTTAGAAAGACATGTTCCTCAATCGATTCTTGTCGACGTGGTTTCTTGTGCGTTTCATTAAAGAGGAATAAAATATATATAATTTTATATATTTAATTTATATGTATATATAATTTTATATATTTAAAAGAAAAATATTGTGTATGTGATGTATTTTTTATATACGTTTTAAAACTCTATGTACCAAATTTTTTAATAAGAAAAATTATATTAAAAATATATTTTTTTTAAATATATCTAAACTCAATCCTTCTAAACATTTTTTCTTTCGGATTGATCACCTAAAAAATATGTAATTGTCCAAACTAGATAATTACAAAGAGCTAAATATAATTTCGCAACAATACATATTTTTTAATAATTTATATTTATTTATATTTTAATAATAACATACACACACACACACACACACACACACACACACATATATATATATACATATATATATATATTTATTTATTTATTTTAATAATTAGATATAAAATTATATGGAAAAAGATAATTGTTTTAATATTACATCGACTCTTATGCAAAAATGTATTAATTTTTTCTTCAAAAAAAGTTAATCGGGTAAAATTGGATCAAGAGAAAAGGTTCTAATAATAATTTTTGAAATACATATATATATATTTTTTTTTCTTTTTTTATCTTTTTTTAGATAGATTCAATATAACGTGAAGCTTGTTAAACTTTGCTAGATAGAATTTCGAAACTTATTTGCCAAGCAGAATAGATTGTGGCATAGAGAGAAATTCATTAAAGAGACGATTGATGTTGCGATGGTTTCGTGGTATCGCTTCTATTATTTTAACCTATTGATTCTATTTTGTTCGATCAAAACCGTGTGTTTAACCGAGTTTTCATGCACAAAGTTTCAATCCAGAGATATTTCGTCTGCTTATATGATACTCATCGAGTATAGAATGTTTCACAAAGCAATTTTAATTCCAATGAATATCAGATTTCCTGGCATATTAAAGTTTATATAGATATTATATAATTTAATAATTTCCTGGGAATTCTAATATTTTAATGATAATTATAAACATTATGTATCTTTGCAATTAAGCAACATATTGAAAATCTATTAAAATAAAATTGATCTGGAAAGATAAAAAAAGAAAAGAACTCTAATCGTTAAAAATGTCAGAATTAATAATAATTCATTTATAATGGAAATTATTATAACATTGAGAAATATCAAAGGTTCACTACTTTTTTATTAAGAAAAAGCTGACTTAAAATGCAATCAAATAATTCGCATTATTAATAATTATTAAATCACTGACTGTAAAACATTTTGCATAATAATGATCAACATCATTAAAAATACACAATTGAGAAAATTACACAGTTAAATTAAATTAAATTAAATTTGCGTAAGTTTAAGATATTTTGTTTGGAAGCGTTATGTCCTGAGCAAAGTTTTATTGATCCTGAAAATCCTGCTATCATATAAGAGTGTTAGACATGTCTTATAAGTTCTTCTAAACTCGATCTTTCATTAGCTTCAATTTTTCTGGATTAAACGTATTTTCCATAGAGTTAATAGCTCGGTTACCCGCATCTTTTACCAAGGTTATATTATAACGATTCAATCACCTGTTAACATATAGAACAATAACCACGATAACAATTACACAAATGCTAATTATATTGCAATTTTGTTTTCTTTCCAGATCTATTTTACATTTTAATACGATCATCTATATATAATTCTAATCTTTTATGTTACAATTCTTTCTTTCATTGATTCTAATTTATCTTATTTATTGTGTTTTTAATATTATTTAATATTTATTCTTAAATAAATTAAAATAAAATTGACATTTCGACTGATATTTAAAATTAAAGAAATTAAATCTGAATTAATGGAGATTTGTTTCAATAATTTTTTAAGCTGTAATTGAACGCTGTTGAATTAAACCAGTCTATGGTGTGACGATCGTTTAGTCATCAGGCAAATTGCAAATCGATACGTGTCACGCATGTGAGTTGAACGTATGATGACGAGAATTGTATTTTGTTTATGCTGGGTGCGCCGACATGCCTAGCCCTACCACGCTCCAAATACCTCTTTATTTCATGACACACCCTGTATATACATTATCTCTTAAAATCGATGTGAATCGTATAAAATGCACTGTTTACAATCTATAATTCTCTTCTCAACTTCTGATAAAAAATCTTAATCTAATTTAATTTAAATTCTAATTTAATTTAATTTAATTTAATTTAATCTAATTTAAATAAAATTAATCGAGATTGTTAATTATCATTTATAATTGCTCGATATAATATTATATTTAATAAATTTAATACAATTTAAGATTTACACAATAATAACAAATATCAATATATATTTAATTTTTTTGCTGTAGATTATTTTAATAAAAAATAGAATAATTTTTTGTGCATAACATCATGTAAAATCTTTATTGAAACAAATAATGTTTGTTTTTGTTACAAAAATATATTTTAATCATAAAATCAAGACAAAAAATTGCAAAAGATTTTGAAAAAAAAAGAACAAAAATATTTTTAAAAATTATACGCGTTTATACAATGGACAAGAATTAGCATCGATAAATTATCTAAAATAAAAAAATAAGATTTCTTATATTTATCATTTCGACTCATTTTAAACTTTTTAAAATTTTTATTTTTTTAAGCTATAATAAGATGTTTCGTAAAAATTGAATTCTTATTTGCTATATCTAAAATTTTGTAAAATAATTTATTTTTTTAAATTTCTTTCTTTAAAAATGACTCAAAAATAACAACTGCAAAGAAAAGACATATTTCTTTTTCAATAATTTATCGAGGATGTAAAAGCGTACGATTATTTAGAATGTTATTATTTTGAATATTTTTTGTTATTTAGAACGTTTTTCTGTTTCAATATTATTTTCAATTAATTATCCTAATTATTCTACATTATATTCTTCTATTATTCTACATTTTCTAAACTTGTGGAAAAAAATATAAAAAATTTTAATTTAATAAACAAAATATCGATGTTATTTTTGAAATTTGTACACAAAAAATAATTATTATTATAACTCCTAAAGAATGTATATTGAATTATAAAAATATTATCTCCAGATTAGTAACCGTTTAAGAAACAAAATTGAAACGCTTTCCAGATATTCCATGTATACAATTTTTCTTCCGCGTTTTATTGTTTCAGAGGTACATCTGGTCTGAACATTATTAATCGTCCTCATGTCCGTCTATTTATTTCTTTATACCAGAGAAACAGACTCTGCTCGTTATGTTCCATTCAGTACGCTTGAGTTTATTTAATTTTACCAGGTATTAAACAGTGAATAGACGAAAATGAATGTAGGCGGTTCATGCACGCTACGCCATAAGTGTTAATTACGCAACCTCAGGATCGTCTATGTAACAAAATCTTTAGAAAACTTCCTCAGAAAAGTATTCCTTATTTTGCTGAGTCTGTGAAAAATATATCTAATAAAGAAAAGCTAATTGATTCATAATGAATATTAGTAATTAATACTTAGTTTTGAAAATTAAATATATATATATATATATATATATATATATATATAATTACATATAAAATAAATAAAAGAATTATATTTATTATAAGAAATTGATTTTTTTCGCGAATATTAGGACTAAAATTTTTTTTTACATCAGATAGAAACATTTTTTTAGGAAACTAAGTCTAATATTATCGTACATTTAAATACCATCTGTAACTCTAGTATATAAATATTAATATTACTATAAATATTATTTTTCTAATATAAAAATTGCATTTTTCATGCAAATATGAGAATTAGATAACTATTTATGTTCTAAACGTATGATGAAAAAACAAATATCTCACATTGTTAAGATATTGTTTTTTTAGACTAAAAAAACAATATCTTAACAAACGAATAATAATTAAATTTAAATAATTTTCGCATATAAGTGTCCCTTCACAAATTATGCTATTTTAATATGTTACATCAAATGTATCACATATAGTTCGTTTATTAAAAAATTAGCCTCATTTCAAAGATGCTTTACTTTGGACTGGTTTTTCTAATATTCTTAAAATATTCATTATAATTTTAAGTTCAATGTCGTTGTTATTAGTTGTCCTGAAGTGGATACGTCCTCTTTTTCTTTTTTTGGCACATGAATATTCTATATTTTCATATAGGAATGCCTATCTGTGTCTGCAAAGGAATTCTCAAACATTCTATAACTTTTTTAAAAATAAAAATTACAAGCTATGGAAAGTTTAATAACATTATTTCTATTATAAGAAAAAGTTTAATAACATTATTTTTATTATAAAAAGTTTTATAATTAAAAGTTTTATAATAATTTTTATAAGTAATATTTTTTTAATGATTTAAAGATAAATGTTTTTATTAGAACAAAAAACAAAAAGAATCTAACATACGTTGCCGTCAAACTTGAATAATCTTTGAATAGATTCTATGATATGTATGTGTAAATTTGGACATTTTTCAAGTTGTTTTGATAAGAGAGATTGACCCTTTCTCAGGAGTGCTTTTCTACAATAATCCTTTCCTTGAAACAATTCTGATATTGGTCTATAAGTGCAACAACATTAAGATTATGCTCCCATTTGACATGTTTAACTTTTGCAGCTTTTTTCTTTTCTATATCCATTTTTTTCCAGTCTCTGTACAGTATTAGATTTTAATCTTCTCGTATTATCTTTTAATAAAATTCTATATATAATTTGTTTCTTCCATCTTAATTTTAATTTCACTCAATTTTTATTTTATCTTAAGTTTTATTCATTTCGTAAAATCGTTAAAAATATCGAGTCTCAGTGATAAGATAGAAAAAAGAATGACGTATTTACGCTAATGGTTTATTCGCTCGCGCATATGTTATTATTCATTTTGACCACGTGTCGATGACGCACGTGTTTCCTATTCTTTTAGACAGACGCCATCAGGATTGGCCGACTCGCGTGCACGGAAATGACGACCCAACGACGAGTTTGCGCAAGGAATCTTATATTAGTATATTCTATAGTATGTGAAGTGAATCTTTCCTATACTTTCCTATAGAAAATCGGGAAGCCAGGAATGGAAAGAGAGATAGGTGTATTTCTGGTTGGATCTTCATCTCTTTTTACACATGAAAACATTTGTCCATCTATCTAAAAACATTTTTCAATTTAACGAGAAGAGCTTATTAATTTCCAGAAAATGTTTAGACTTTACTTATGAATTTAAAAATTAATATGAAATATTAGAAATGATTGCGAGTTATTTTTCTTTAAATTCGCAAAGTATGTGAATAATTTTTGACTGTGATGCTAATATCAACCAATCAACGAGTCTCTGACAAAGAAAGCGATTCAGCCAACACGTGTACATACGCATCCTTTTCTACGAATTTCCCCACTTTTGACAGCTTGCTCCGATATGTCACGGTTTACGCGATAGATTATGCAATCGATGTGTCACGTGGTCGCGGCGATTGTATTATATAAGCCGTGTCGCGGTTATAGCTATAGTGCATGCGGCACATTTTACGCGATGAAACGTCAGCACTGTAAATAGAAGCGCTTCGGGTAGGATACCGGTGGTCTTCGTGCTGCGCATCCATCTTATTACACGCGATCGGAGTCATCCGGAGTTGATTAGAATCTTCAGATCGACGTCTCTCTCATCGGAGCCTGCTTAGATCGTCGAAGCAATCGCGAAAATGACCAGCTCCCCGGTGCTAAATCCGGTAAGTGTTCTTATTTTGTCGCTTTTTTTCTCCCTTTAATGAGATTTCCATTGATCCACAAAGTACCCGCATTGCTGATGCTTAAAGCAAGTGCGCATCCTTACTTTATTATTAATCGCTCATTAGCAGCCTTAGCTGTCATCGTAATTATTATATTTATGAATTATACGTATAATATATAATTGCTATTAAAAATTACAAATTATATGATTGTCATTATAAATTATATTCATGATATGTTATTTAAAATCAGAAAATGCTTATCATGGTTTATCTTATTATGAAAGATGTATGTTATGAGAATTTTGTTTTAATTATTGTTATTTGTAATTAATATTCAGAATTAGTGTTATTTGTAATTAATATTCAGAATTAAGATGTCAAACTTGGAGTCTCTGTTATTGCTATTTTTAGAAAATTGTTTGTTTGTATCTTGAAATTTGGCATTTAACAACAGGAAATCCCATACGTGGGACAAGTGGAAGGAGGCTTGAGAGCAGGTACTATGCTGACAATACGGGGTGAAGTACCGCCACAGGCTGTACGATTTGCCGTCAATTACCAACTCGGACCAACATTAAATCCGAGGGACGACATAGCTATTCACGTGTCTCCGCGTTTCCCTGAAGGCTTTGTCACCAGAAACAGCATAGAATCGATGAACTGGGGCATGGAGGAGAACTCTGGTCCATTGTGGATTCAGCCTGGTCAGAAATTTGAAATGATGATCTTGTGCGATTATCACTGCTACAAGATTGCTATAAATGGCAGGCACTTCGCGGAGTTCGCTCATCGATTACCATTCATAAAAGTTACTCATCTGGTTATCGATGGCGATGTCGAGATACACTCCATTACTTATGAACAAGTATCGGTTGATCCGCCGAAGTCCCCTGCTACAGCACCAGATGATGTATCAGCTGCTAATTTTGGACCACCCCGTAAGAAACCATATGCTTGTTTTCTAAATATAATTGTAACATCTCAATATTATAATTTCATGAATCAGTTAAATTCTTATTCTTCTTAATCAGCTCCTGGTGGATTGTATCCAACGATTCAAGGCGGATATGGACCTCCTCCTCCAACTGGTTATGGACCTCCTCCTCCATCTGGTTATGGACCTCCCCCGCCGACTGGTTATGGTCCCCCTCCTGATGCTTATGGTGGTCCTGGTGGTTACAATCCACCTAGAGGCTATGGGTATGGTCAGCCTGGTCCCGATAAACCAGAAGAAGAAGGCATCTTTGGAGATTGTTTAGACAAAGTTGGATTAGCGATAGGCGGATTAGTGGCGGCCGGAGGAGTAGCTGCAGCCATGAATGCGATGAATGTAAAGATATATTTAAATTTACCACTATATTTATACAATATTTTAAAGGTCATTTAAAACTTAAACATTTTTCACGATTATTTATAGAAGAAGAAGGAAGAAGGTCATGACGAGAAAGATCATGAAAAAGCGGACGCTGCCAAGTCGAAGACGGAAAGTGAAAGTGGTTTCGGAAATTTAGCTGGGTCTCTTGGAATGGCTTTAGCTAGTAGTCTAGCAAGTAATGCCTTGCAAGGTAATACACAAGCACAGCAAGGTTATCCTGCTCAGCAGCAATCGAGCGGCGGTGGTGTATTGGGATCTATTTTTGGAGCCTTGGGTATATATTTATATAACTTGAATTTTTCAAAAACATATGGGATATAAGCAGGAATGTATCTTAAGATTTTTCAACTTTTACATGCATAGAATATTTGCGATTCCGAACAAAACAAATTCATTTCAAATGAAAACGATTTCTTCAGTAATTCTTAGCAAATATATATATATATATATATATATATATATATATATATATATATATATACAGGGTGGTCCCGAACGTTCCAGCCAGACTTTGAGATCTTATAGGAAATTTAATTCTGAACAAAAAATTTCGTATAAACATGGGTCGAAACATGCTTCCTTAAGAAGTTATCGCTCAAAAACCTCTGATGAAGAAAGAGCAAAAAGTGAAAAGAAAATGAAATAAAAAGAAAGTGAAACTAAAAAATTATTTTATTTTCATAAAAGAAAAAGATTTTTATTTTTTATTTTTATCGTTTTTTTCAAGAAATTTATTTAGTTTCATTTTCTTTTTATTTCATTTTCTTTTCACCTTTTGCTCTTCCTTCATCAGAGGTTTTTGAGCGATAACTTCTTAAGAAAGCATTTTTCGATCCATGTTTATAGAAAATTTTTTTCAGAATTAAATTTCCTATAAGATCTCAAAGTCTGGCTGGAACGTTCAGGGCCCCTGTATATATCGTGATTCTATAAGAGCTAGAAAATCTGTAAATGCTCTCTCTCTCTGCCGTGACTGGTCGAGTGATATCATCGCGTTGGAATTATTGTCAAGGACGGGATTGTTTCTCAGACCAGATAAATGGATAGATGATTATCTGTATAAGATACATTCCTGATACTAAGCTGATCTAAGATTAGAGCAATTTATAGTGTGACTGTCTTTCATTTTTTATATCGATGATATTAGGTGGTGGAGGAGGCTCTCAACAACCTGCCTATTCTTCAAATCAACCGGCCACCGGTGATGGCCTAGGCGGAACGTTAGGATCTATACTTGGTGGTGTTCTCGGCGGTGGTGGAAGCCATCAGCAACCAGCGTATCAACCATCGGGAGGATACGGCGGCTATCAACCGTCAGGTGGCTATCCGGCATCCGGCGGTCAGAGTTCTGGTGGATCGGATCTTTTATCGGGAATAGGATCTGCCTTATTTAGTTCGGCTTTGGACGGTTTAAGCAAACGTGGAAAAGATGTAAATACTGAACTTCTGACTTTAACAACATATATAATTAAAAAATACGGAGCAAGATTTAATCTTTCACATTTTTTCTTCTGTATAGAAATCTCATGATGAACATCATTCCGGACCACCGCCAAGTTATGAGCCTCCTCCACCAAAACCAGCTCCGCGTCCAGAAACTCCACCGTCTTCAGGTGGGAAGAAATTAACAGCAGATGAAATTTCAAAGGGACTAGGACTGGATGATTAAACGCGCGTCAACAACGCGGAAATAAGCTTTAGCCTACAAATACACGCACCACACAGTGTAATGATTTTATGCTCTCTTGTTGCTTGAAAACGTAATTTCTATATAATATCATGAATCTTGTTTGTTAAAATATGATGTACTCGTTCGTCCTTTGTCTCAATAGATTTTTAATCGTACTGGCATATATGCTGGCTATACTCGTATATGAGATATAGAAATGCAAGCGAATATTTTTCAATATATTATATAAATACATTGTATAATTGATATCAATTAGATATTTAAGTTCGTTCCAAAATTGCTTTTAAAGGTTGCATATCTTTTAGATAGAAAACAGAAATCAAATATATACCTTTATGATGCCTTCCGTGAAATAATCCATAAATGATAATTATACAAACATAGGAATGAGAAGTTAATGTATTTTTTAAGATTATATTTTTATAAGCATGTTTTATTGTTTTATAAGAGAAAATGTGTTGTCTAAAGAGAGAGATATCTAATATAGATGCCTTAACTATATGTATATTTATATATAAATTGCACTGATAACATATAATCGTTATTTATTATTTAAATCAAAAAGTTAAATATATACACATTTTATTGCAAATAAAATGCATTAAATTTGTTGTAGAAATCTTATTTTCTCGTCTTTCAAGATCAAAAACTTCCGAAATATTTTCAATATCGCATTATGCTTTTGTGAAATGTATTACAAACTTAATAAAATATTAAATAATCGTGAGAAATACTCTAAGACAGAAGTTTTTTTTATAAAACTTAATTAAATAATTGTTATACATAAATCAATCTCAAAAAAATGCCTCGAGATCTCTATCTTTTTCTTACATTTCCCAGATATTCCTAGTAGTAATATTTATAATATTTATAATACAATATATTTAATATTCCTGTATATTCAAATTTTCAGCTTACGTATGTCTGATTCATGTTGTCAGCCTACTTTACGAAGTTTCATAAAATTTATTAATTTTACATATTTATTATCTATCTCAGATTTGTAAGCAATATACTTCATATAATTTCATTTTATCTAAATTATTAAAAAATGTTAAAATTATTTTAATCGAAAGAATAAATTTACAAGTTATTCGAAAAATAATTAAAAGATGAAAGGGTAACACATATAGTGCCGCTATAAAGAACAGATCTTTTACTTATCATTTGAAATTTAAACAGCAATTGATTTTCTGTCATGTGGTTCAATAACGTTAGTGTTTAATAAACGTTTAATTCGTTTATAACATTACATAGGCGGAAATGAGCTTGTAAAATATTCAATATCTACAACTTTTTTTATCTAATTTACTTAGAAAATTATAAAGATCATATATACTTTAATAAAGATTTTATCTTATTACGTTATTCGCTTATTACATATTACATTTTACGGGACAGATCTTTATTTCTGACTGACCAATTAAACGATATCCTATTCCAAGGATGATCACGCTAAATCTCGTAAAACCATCGATATTAATAGTATCTCATCAGTAAATATGCTTTCGAATGTTCCACTTTATATAGCAAATTTTTTATATTATTTTATTATAGTTTTCATAACAGCAAAATATTTAATGTTTGATGTTTTATATGTATATATAATATAATATGCTAAATTATAAAGTGTAACATAATTATAAAGTATTACTATTATTAATCGATTTATATATAATTGCAAGTTATTCTGAATTACTATGCATTATTATTCAACGCATCTTCTTCTTCAAATCTTTGCAGTGTTATAATCTGTCGCATTCCCAAAACCATAGGGACTCGTGCTTCTTCCTTCTTATAATTTATATCATTCTTTCATCTTATTCAATACATGTAATAATTATTATAACATAATATAATATAATTATTATATTAATAATTAATAATTATTAATACAATAATTATAATTACGGTATCTCTCTTTGTCTGACTCTTTCCCTTTGACCTATCCGGCATGGGTGACCCTGCCAGTAATTAAGGCCAGTGTTCATATAGTTTTATATTTAAGATCGTTATAAGTAAAATTTAAAAAAATGTTTGTTATTTCATTAAAACTGAACAGAATCTTAAGATGCGATTTAAGACCATATTTAAAATGATTAAATATGAAAACAAATCGTATGAATATTGGCCTATATTACCGCCGGCATAGCTCTCCGGATCATTAGAGTACTCAAACCTCCTCACCCGGCAAATGCCTTCGTTAAGGTAGAGATACCATCGAGGAGGTAAATTTTTTTTCATTTTATTTTATTTTAATAGTGTAGCTTATTCAAATTTTCCAAATAGAAAACATAATATAAAGAATTTATAAAATATATATAATTATATAATTATAAAATATTATAGTGTATAATTACATAGTTTGCAATTATATAAAATATATTACAAAATATATATTATAATTATAGTACAAATTATAAATTGGTGATGCTATCAACATCAAATAAATATATATTCGAATTTATTCAAATATTTTCAAAAATAATAATAATACGGATAATGATGTTGAGAGCATTAACACACGCGCTTACAATAATACTATATATATATGAAAAAGAAAACTCGAAGAGTAAGATAATTTTTCGAAAAATGAAGATATTGCAAGATATATTTTCAATTTTCCGATTTTTATTCAAGATTTATTCTCTATTCTAAATTATAATAAAGTTATAAATAACTTTACACAAAATTTTATTATCATTTTCATAATAGTATAACTTGATATATAATATTTTATTTTGACGATATTTTAGTTCGAAATACAATATAAAAAGTTATAAAATATAAATTATAAAATTAATTTAATATATAATAATACAATCAAATTGAAAATATATAATGTATAACAATAACAATAATAAAATATATATGTACATAATACATATATATAATACATAAAATTATTAATATATAAAATTTTACATTATTGTTAATACATAAAATTGATAGTACATAAGATAATACATGAAATTTTTCGTTGAAAATATATAGTATATAATATATAATTGTAACAATAATAAAAAATACATTATATATACATTATATATAATACATAAAATAATACAAAAAATTATTATATACAATATATAAATACAATATTTTATTATATTACACAGAAAATATCAGAAATGCGTACAATGTAAAATTTAATAAAATTTTTTAGATTGGCGCTGATAATCTATCGCAACCAAAAGAATCATTAATAAATTTATCGATTATGTCTTTCAATAAGAAAAAGTACCCGGAATTTTAATACATTTTGTAAGGTTTTCTAAAAGAAATGTTTGATTACGCGGAAAAATAAGTAAAGCATCGATGTTACCCAATGATTAAATCAGAGAAAAAATCACAGTTTAAATTTCGCGAATGTATATGATGAATAAATAAATTGATAATAATAATAGTAATATTTAATTACAATACATATAATTTCTATAATAAAATCGGAATACAACGTGCGCACACGCAATATAATTATTATCATTTCATATGATAATAAAAATTTTGCAACATTAGAGGCGCATTTCATATAATTTGTAATTATAATACATGTAAGAAATCAAACGCGAATGCAAAATCTAATACTCGATTTCTTTTCAAATATACAATTTCATGTAAATTTTGCGATCAAAAATATATAAAAATATCTATCTTGTTTCGCGAACAATTGCAAGGACATTTACAGCTAAACTTAAGGCTAAACTGTAATATTCCTTAAAATAATCGCGTTATCGTCACGTTCAATAAAGGATAACTGGCCCAACGATTAAACCAGATCAAAATCCCTCTGCCGAGTGATACGCTGATTAATATCTGACAGAGAGAAGAACGATCTTTAAAGTGGAAAGCGACCTCAACTTGTTTTATTTCTTTTATTTCGGATTCTGCGGAATCGATTCGCAAAGGAAAGTTAAGTGATTCATTGAACATCAGAAGTCTCGCTACAGAAAGGAACGAATCCTCGATCTTCCTGATTGCTCCCGATAACAGTGATTTCGGCAGCGAATTAACGACTGTTACCCTTATTATTATTTTTAATATATGATATATAAAATTATATATCATATATTTTAATATATGATATATAAAATTTTCGTGAAAAAAAACATGTTCATTTTAAGAAATATCTCTTTTTACTAAAAAATGACTGGATATAATGATTTTTATATACATGTTACAATCGAGTATATTTAGCAAAAATGAAATACATGCGCTTTTATCGTTGCTTGATTAAATGTGTGAATAATAATAATTTTAGGGTACCAAATGTGCTCGAGACAAATCAAATCTGATAACAGCAAGATTAAGAAAAAAATCAATTTGAATATTTAGCAGCATCAAAAAGAAAGATTATCAAGGAATTAATTTTTCTGTTGCATTTAACAGTTGCAGACATCTTTCTATTATCAGAGTACCCATTCGATTTGTTTCGAATTTTTTAATTACTCACACATTTAATATTATATCATGCATTCCTCATATATTATTAAGAATAATATAAAAACAGTTTTTTTAAGAATTTCACAATTTACGCACATGTATTTTATTATATATACACATATACACTTGTCTTATCTAAAATAAATTAATTGTAATATACTGAGATAGTGGAGCGTCCAGAACCTGCAAGTGGTTTCTTAAAAGAGACCAAAAATAAAATTAATTCAAAATTAATTAATAAAATATACTCGTTTGTAACCATAATTTTTTAAATAATAAAAAATTTGCAAAAATCTGCAAAAATTTATTAAATTAAATGTATATTTGAGAAAGTGAATTTGATCTTTATATCCATTTTTGAACTACAATTAAATATTTTCATTATTAAAGTTAATATTGATATTAATGGAAGGACAAGGATTTTCTTTTTTAATAAAAAAGAAAATATCTTCTCTCAAAGTATATTTAATGAATTCGATTTCCAACAATGTACGGTGATCGTTGTTAAATCATTGCCAAAAACATTGTCTCCAGGAATCGCCAAGAAAACCTGGGTTTAATTCCAACTCTATAATGAAAACTCCTAATTTTTAATGAAGCATCGAACTAGGCGTTGCGGATAGATCTACAAAACCGACGAGAAATAACTCTCCACAATGAAAATCGTTTCGACTATCCGCCAGTACAAACCGCGCATTTGCTAGCGTTCACCTGACATGAGGGATAGCGATAAAGCTTTTTCGCCGAGATAGCGATCACGTTCAAAAACGTGAAAAGAACGCAATTGTTTGCAATATAATTTATTATAAAATCGTTCAATAAATATCTAACGCGATGCAAAATCCTCGAAATACATTTAATTAAAAACGATAATTAAATAAAATTATTTTGTTTTACAGATTTTAATTTCCGCGTGATCGATAATGTTTAATTTTAATCTTTCGCAATATTTTATTTTTGA